GTTTCTGCAGCTGGCTCTAATCTGCCAGGTGATAAGCGCGTGATAGAAAGAAAGCGTAAGAGGCAGAGTGGCAGTGCAGGGGGGATCCAGAACGACCAATTGCTCTTGGGAACAAAAAACCACAAGGCAACAAAAACCTTGACATTCATTTATTGAGGAGGGCATTATCAGATGACTCTGAGGGCAGTGATGATCTTAAACTAAGGAGGATTTTTCCTGAAGTATAATGGCATCACAGGACCACTAAAGGCCTCCTGGCCCTCACCTCAAGGTATAATTCGTGGTTCCCAACAGGCAACAAAAATTTGTGAGTATCGTTGCTGAGAAACTCTTTATTAACAGCTTAAAGACTCCATTTTATGTTTTGCCCTCAGAGTTAGGCCCAGAGCTTTTAAGGTGGGCATCCATGTCATCCACAATTTACATTCGTATTTAGGTTATTCTCATGGAAAAGAACTTAAACTTTTTTAAAATAATTGCTAATTCGATAAACTGTAGTTCCAAAAATCATGAGCAGTTTCCACATTGCTATTTTGAAAGTGAGAAAACCTATTCCAAAGAGGGGAAAGGGGCATGCCCAGATCACCAAAAAATATTAAGTAGAAGTCTTAATAAAAACGCATTCTTGTGAAACTGTACATACATAACTTAGAGCCATCTAGTTTTCTTTAGATTATAATTTGAATCATTGCAGTAAACTTTATTTAATGGTTATTGCCATAATGAATGCTGAGACACTACTTTTGAAAATGACATTCATTGCAGTAAATTATAATGTCTTTTAAGATTTTTTTCTACTTACTTCATTTAAGACTTCAGTTACACATCCAGGGTCACAAAGATAAACAATGCATTACACAACCAACTATTAAAACAGCAATATATCATCTTATACATACAAGAGTCACATGTAAGTGTAGATGATTAAAAATATGTGAAATAAGTTATAAAACTAAATCAAACAATACTAAGAATATAGTTTTGTGTTTATTTAAATCCTGAAAATTTAAGAACATGTAATAACAATGCTTATCTCTGAGTTACCAAAAAATGCCAATAGAAGGCTATCATTTTTATAACTTGAAGCTATTGGCATTTAACATTTAAGCAAATGAGTGAATGACACTGATCTGGTTTGTAGCTTCTTTTGCAGAGCAATCTCCAGTTACCATACACTATAGTGATACACAATTTGCCACATCTTCTCTCTGATATTATTATGTTTAGTTTTGTAAAAAAAAAAAAAAAAAAGTGACAAATGCTTTCAAAATCTTATCTATGGCTCATTAAAAAGTTGCAAGAAAGAATGGAAGAAAGGCAGAAAAGGAAGGAAGGAAGGAAGGAAGGAAGGAAGGGCAGAGGGGAGGAAGAGAGGGAAAGGAAGTGCTTCCTGTTATATTTCTTCAGATAGCATTTTTTGAAAATTGTTCCACAGATCTGATTCTATAAACTCTGTAAAAATAAAGTCTTGAAATACATAAAACACAGAATTCATGTAGTATTTTCATGCTTAAAATTTTAGGAATTAAAAGAATTAATAAGTTCAATTTATTCAGAGATTCTGATACATTCACTTCCTAGTTGGAATATTTTTCAGTTATATCAAATTTAGATATGTTTCTGCAAATCCACCTTATAAGAAATGTTTCAAGACAGTGTTATAAGATATGCATTATAAGACTGTGATATACCTTTACCATTTTAGCTTATGATGCAAAACAAGTTCTTAAAGAATTCAAGGCAGCAGACTAAGAACAAATGAGGAAAAACTATCCCCAATCTTTAATTACTTTTTTTTTTTTGCAAAGGTTTATTCCACACAGAAGAGCTCAGTCCTTCTTAGTAGCTGCCTTCCTCATGGCGACCAGCACAGTGGTCAGCTCCTTGAAGTATTTTTGGCTGAGAAATGCTTCCACACTCTTTTCTTGATGTATTTGAGGGTTCATTTGTCCTTGGAGACCTTGAACAGCTCCATGGTGCCCCACTCTCAGGGGACGAAGCCTCACAGCTCTCAGATCACGTCTTGCAGGAGCAAATTTGGCATGCTTGGAGAGGCATGCAAGGCTGTGGCTGTGCCTCTGTCTGCTCGTGTTCTTTGTGGTCTGCTCCTGTTCTTTGTCACCTTGTGGCCCTTGTGGAGTCCCATGGTGACTGGGTAGTACAGAACCATGGCTGCTGTTCTTCAATGGTTGCATCAGCAGAAAGATAAGTGCCATGTGGAACCCTGGGATACCTCTGTAATTATTTTTAACTGATGAAAAGTGGAAAGGGAGAGGCAAAGAAAAAAAGAAAAAGGAAGAGGAGGAGGAAGAAGAGAAGGGAAAAGGAAGCAAAGCCAAGGATAAAAGGTAAAGGAGGAGAAGGGGAACAATAAGAAGGGGAAAGAAGGGCAAAAAGGGAAGTGGAAGAAGAATAAATAAAATCTATATGTCTATGTACCTGCTTCTAAAGATTATAAGATGCATGTACTGGAAATGTGTACTAATGAAAATTTTAAAATACTTTTAAAATTTTTTATTTATGCTTAGTTGTCTTATTTCTTTTTCTTTGTACCAAATGTCACCTGTCCCTTTCTAAGTGTAAAAATTTTACTGTTTGTATAGTATTGGAAAATTGATTTAACACTAAAAATCTAAACTCATTGGATTGCACCCATTTTATCTATTTTCTACTAAGAGGAAGCAGAAAAACTGAGTAAAATTCATGAATTATGTTGGAATAATAAATTGTTACAGTTTTCGATCTTATTTTATATTAAGTAATCAATTCATTGATCTTTTATTTTCAAGAAAACTAGGACTATTAATCTTAAATAACATCGTACTTTCACAGCAATTAATAAAATAGCTTGTGTAATTTATCTTTTTTTAGTATTACTGTGGTATGCAATTATACAAAGCTGGGTCAGCTGGAGTACAATGTACATAGCAGGAAATAAAATTAGAAATAAATAACAGCCTAGCTAGCAAATAAAATATAATGACTGTTTAAACTTGAGTTTATAGTCATTGTCAGGGATTAAAAGATGAGTTTCAAAAATCATGAAAGACTAAACAAATCAAGGATTTTGCTTATTTAAGTGATATGTCTTCAATCACATTTTACAGTGATCTTTCTATTTTATATGTTCAGAGTAGTTTCTAAGAAGACATGGTAAAATCAAAGAAATAAATCACTATGCCACAGGATAACCAAAAAAAGATATGATTTAATTATTCAAATAAATTAAGGATATAACTGAAAGGACATGCTGATGTTTTATGTATTAAGTAAAAGTAAGAAGCAAATTTTGATATTAAGGTTCTCTTGGCAGTCATAAAAAGAATTTTGAACTTTTCATTAAATAAAGTGAAAAAGCCCATGAACAGTAAAACTTGACTTTGAGAAATCCCCAAATATTTAAATGTGGTCAGGTAGACCTTTTTTATACATCAATCTGGCATGGAGGAAATTCAAATTGTAATCCTGTGTAGGTGGAGATCATAGTTTAACAGGCTGTTGTAATCATCAACAGAAAACTCAGATTAAAAAAAAGACTGAGCCTTGAGAACAGAAACACTGCAAGCGGAAGACCCCTGTACACACAGTATATATGCAACTGACAGTGACTGGACATTTTAGCCCAGGAGCTAAAATGAAATCAGAGACCATAGCATGTGGAGCCAAGTGAAGTCCTTCAACAGAAAGGGAGCATTCAGATCAAACTTTGCTTTTAGGAAAATCATGAATAGAATAGAGAATTGCCCCATGAGTATGGCAGTGTAGTAGTCATTCTTCTTAAGAAAAATTTTACAAATTGAATTCAAAAAATTGAAAAGTGTGAACATAAGAAAACATGGTAAAAAGAGAAGAAAAAAAAAAAAGATCCACCCCACAACTTAAAAGAGAAGGGTCTCAATTTGACTCAGAGGATTCAGTATGTTGTTGGCTGGCAACAAAACAGATAAACTGTATCACAAAAGTATGGAAGAATGTAGCCAACAGCTTCCTGGTTACTGGGAAGAGGATCACAGGGAAAGAACACCAGGGAGAGGGATGCAGTCCAATGTCCTGCATTTACACAGCTTCTTTAATTAGATCCTATTTTCTTTTTAACAGTACATTGAGCTATAAACGTCAGTGGATTAATCCAGTACTACTGCTAAATACCATTCGCTTTTCTGGGAATTTCTTAACCCTGTCAAATTGATAGTTAAGAATAACTGAACTAGAATGGAAGACTCACATACTACCATTAAGAGGCATCAATAATGATATTGTTGAGGGATTCTGTTCTTTAAAAGGGAGGAAATTTCGGCATGTCAGTAGTTTCCTACCACCATATTTAGCTCCACAGGTAGATGTGCACAGTGAAATTCTGACATGTAGAGAACAAAGACACCTGATGATGCTCTCATTGATCACAGACTACTCTATAATGAGGAGAGGAAATAATATGAAAGCAGTATAAAAAAATCAAATGTTGGTTTACTTTATGAATTATGAATATCTCAGATATTATAAAAATGAGGACCCAATTTGAAAGAGCTTGAGTATTTACGTGGAAGTGGCATATTATTGATCATGATCATTCATGCATTTCATTCAAGGACCACATAGTAAGATTATTAGAGAAAGAATGCCCAGGAATGGGGAGTCTAAGCTGGTAGATGGACTTTCTTAATTATTACTGAGATTATCAATGCCGTAGTGAGATACTGTCAGTAAACAAAGATCTTCTGAAGCCTAAAGAGGAGCAAAGAACAACTTGGGTAGCATTGTTATGTGAAGTTGTAAGTTGTTTTGAAAATGGCCCAGAATAGGAAGGGGAGGGAATGATCTTCAAAAATCAAGGGACAAGGAAAACTGCGTTCTCACCTCCAGGTCTTATGGTGCTAGGAAAAATACAGAACGAAGTATCTTCAGGAAAATACTGGTTTTCAGTTATTAGATCCTGAAGAAAATGAAAGTTAAGAATGTGATAGCTCGGACCCCGGAATAAAACCCAAGGAAGCAAGAAATTAAAATTTGGAGAGCAAAGGCTTTATTTTAGGCCAGGCCCTAGCAATGCAAACCCCAGGAGCCAATTTGGAGACTATGCACCTTACAGCTAGAAAGGTTGGGTTTTAAAGCTGAAAACCACAGGAATGTTGTAATCGCTGACACAGGTAGCATCTGGGCTTTATAGAACTTCCTGTAATTTCCTTGAAGTTAAGCATTTCTTAAAGAACAGCACATTTTATTACAGATAGCCAGAAAAGGGGTAGGGGAGGAGGTTTCAGGAAACTGATACCTAAGGCTTTTACAGCTTTCTCAGGAAATTGAAACTTAACTTAGAAAGATAGGAAGGGAAGGGGAGGGCTGAGCGGTACATACAAAACAGAAATGAGGTGCAATGGTTAAAACTAGGTTACAACATTCTCCTCTGATGTTGTGACTGAGGATCAAAACTTTGACCTAATTTTAAGGATTTTGAGGTATGGGCTCGTAGGTGTGCTGGCGTAACATTATCCACTTTATGCCTTGCATTTGTTGTCTGACATATGCAGTTATTCTACTGAGTATATAAGGACCTACTGTGACCAGGAGCAGTACCCCTAACAATGGTCCAAGCAAGGGCATGAGATAGGGCAGGATTTCATTCTAGACACTCCATAAAGAGTTTTCAAATAGCTCTCTCCTTCTTTTAACTAGGTCTTCCTGTAGTCTCTTGATTTTATCCCCTTCTGTTTTGGAGAATTACTTCAGCCAACAAGTCTATTTGGTCTTGAATGACCTGAATGGTACTAGATAATGCCTGCACATCACTAACGATCTGGTTGGAAAGTTGGACAGAAACCCCTACCCCTGCTGCCCCCATACCTAAGGCTCCTGATATTCCTAGGCCTACCAATAAAGGGATAAATTGAACTGCCCCCTTTGATCAGCCTGTGATGTAATCTAAACTAGGAATGAGGACAGGCTCATCCCCCAGTAGGATCTCTATATCAGGCAATAGGACAGCTGTTACACATATCCCTGTCCAGTTAGTTGGGAGGAAAGTATAGGCCATATTTCCTCCACAAATAAATATTTGCCCTTTGGTGGGATAAAGGGAGGTAGTCCAGTTAACTATGGAACTACAATTAGTAAATGCAATGAACCCCACGTCAGTGTCAGAGGTATCATTATGAAAACCTCCTTGGAGACAGAGTCCTTGAAGCCTACTGGTTGTACTCTAAAGGGGTACCAGTACTAAAATTTAAGTAATCTTGTTCCTCCAGTGTAGTCAGAGAAACATTGGAGGGGATTGCAAGGGGCATGGGGGAGCCCTGTGCCATGCATAACCAGCAATCTTCAGCCAAAGTTGGGTTGGAAGCATTTAAGGCTTTATGAGTGGCCTCTAGAATATCAGAAGTTTGAGCATCCAGATCAACTCCCCACGATTTAGGCAGCATCAGGGGGTGGTAATATATCTGGGGAAACATTATTTTTATTAGCTGCTTGACTCATTCCTCAACCATGAGTTTTCTGATCTTATCTTGTGGGCCACCCCCATCAGACACATGTATAGGGGCCACCCTTCTCCAGCACACTGATTTACCAACCATGCCAAGATATGAGGCTTAGGCATACTTTGAACTTCCTATCATTGTTGGATTGGTGGACCAATCACCTCCAACACTTCCAGCCCGTGTCCTCGTAAGCTCAGCAGTGAAGTAAGTTTTGCTATCTATGCCTATACATTCTTGTACAGAGTCATAGCAGGAGGAATGCATTTCAGACTACTAAGAACAATTCTGAGGGCATGGCCCTGGCTGGCTGCCTTTGTTAGGTATCACACAGGGCTTTAACATACACATCCACCTTTGAATCAAACCCCCTGTAACTGAGGGTATAGCAACAAGGAATGTTAACTTGTCCCCACAATCTGTCCGAAGACTGTATGCATACAATTTATCATTTGTGCGGGAAGGATCTCGATCCTTGTTTCCTACTGTATGAATAATTCCCCCCCAGTTGGTGTCTTTACCTTTAGTAATATAGCCCCCTCCACAATCACAGGGGCTCCCATACCAAGATCTTAACAATTGTTCTTTGCTTACAGGGGGACCAAAGCCGCCATGCAAGGTTGGCATCAATGTTAATAAAATCAAAGCAAGCAAGTTAAAACAGTTCATGCCTGGCATAATCTAAATATGCTTTAGTCAATTTTAACTTTAAGGGGTTACCAGTCTGCTGTACAGTCAATTGAGAACACTCCTCACTGTCTGTTGCTTCCAATGGTTTGACATGGGTATGGTGAATCCATGCAGTCTTTTGTGCTACCTTGATGGTGGTGGGAGTGCTGAGCACCACGGTGAAAGGTCCTTCCCAGTGGGGTTTGAGGGAGTCACGGTGGTGCCACTGCACCAAGACTGGAATCCCTGGCTTGGTCGGTGCTTTGAGGGGTGTCTCTGAAGGCAGATCTGGGTGTTTTTGTCTAATCAGCTGGTGGATTGAAGTCAACACGGGTTGGAGAGTCTGCAGGGACTTAATGAGATCTTGATTAGTTATTTCAGCTAGTTTATCTTCTGACAATCTTGGAATGGCAGAGACCTCCCAAACATGGATTCAAAGGGGGAAATTCCAGAAACATATAGGGTACATCTAGCTCTTAACAGTGCAAAGGGAAGAAGGCTCACCCAATTATCACCAGTTTCTAAAGACAGCTTAGCTAAAATGTCCTTGAGAGTTTGGTTCATACATTCTACTTGCCCTGAGCTTTGTGGCTGGTAGGCACAGTGGAGTTTTCCAATTAATCTTTAATGCTTGGGCTAACTTTTGGGTGACTTGGGCTATGAAAGCCAGGCCATTATCGGACCCCATTGATAGTGGGAGGTCAAATTGAGGTATGATCTCATGCAATAGCTTTTTAACTACCAGTAAGGCTGACTCGGACTTAGTAGGGAAAGCCTCTACCCAGCCAGTGAAGGTGTCTACTAATACCAAGAGATAGCGGTGCCCCTGTAAACCAGGCTTTACCATGTCCATGAAGTCTACTTCCCAATGTTCTTCTGGAACAATTCCTCAATGTCGGGTGGTCTCCAGCATAGAGCTCTTGGCTGAATTGACTAACAAGCACTGTGGGCATTTGGAGCTCAAAGAGGTGGTCAGTTTGCAGAGTTTTGGAATAAAAAAATCAAGTTCTGAACAATTCTGCAAGTTTAGTTCTCCCTAAATGAGCAGTTTGGTGAGCCTGGTGTAACAACTCCTGCCCTAGTGCCTCCGGTAACAGTACTCGTTTATCAGGTAACTGGTATCAGCCCCCTGGGGTGAGGGACTTCACTCCAAGTTGAGATGCTAACTGTAGGTCTTTCTTTGTGTAGACTGGTTCTGACAAGATCAGAGGGACTAGCATCAGAGCAGTTACTTCCTTGGGTGGCCCCTCTGATGTGGTTGCTTTTTTTCGAGTGGCTTGATCTGCCAAACTGTTTCCTAAGGTGACAGTGTCATCTCCTGTCTGGTGAGCCTTGCAATGAACAATAGCAACTCGTTGAGGTACCCAGACAGCTGCCAGCAAGTCTAGAATCCATGGAGCATTTTTAGTCTTAGTCCCAGCTGAGATCAAGAGACCTCGCTCCTGATACATGGCTCCATGTACATGTACAGTAGCAAAAGCATATCTACTGTCGGTATAGATGTTTACCCTCTTTCCCGTGGCTGGTTTTAGCACCTCAGTCAAAGCAATGAGCTCCGCCTTTTGGGCAGAGGTGCCAGGCTCTAACCACTTAACCCAGAGTACCTTCTTTTCGGTGGTCACTGTTGCCCTGGCCACTCGTTTGCTGTTCTGGATAAAGCTGCTTCCATCGATGAAATAGTTGTGGGCATTTCCCAAAGGCTGGTCGGTAAGATCAGCTCGTAAGTTCTGCTGCAGTTCAAGGATGTCAGCACACTCATGGAGAAGTGTCCTTTGTTCCTCTGGGTCATCATCAGGCATAAGGGTGGCTGGGTTTAAAGCTGAAGAACTCTTGAATGCCACTGACTTGAGTCTAGAAGCAGGGCCTAACAGTGTAGAATTCTGGGGTTCAAAAGCCACATTTCAGGAGGAGTTTGGATAAGAGTCTCTAAACTGCAGGAGATCACCACAGAAATCTTCTGTCCAAAAGTGAGGTTTTTTTTGTTTTTTGTTTTTTGTTTTTTTAGCCTCGTTAAGTAACATTGCCACAGCAGCTAGGATTCTCAGGCAGGAGGGCCATCCTTCTGTCACCGGATCAAGTCTTTTGGAGAAGTAGGCTATAGGCCTCTTTCAAGGGCCAATGTCCTGGGTTAGGACTCCTTTGGCAATGCCCTTGAGTTTATCTATGAACAAGGTGAACAGCTTGGTAACGTCAGGGAGTCCCAGGGCTGTGGCCTCTGTCAAGGCCCACTTGAGCTGCTGGAAGGCCCGTTCACATTTATCAGTCCAGTTCAGTGAGTTTTGAGTTTCTCCCTTATGGGAGTCATATAGAGGTAAGCTTTTCAGTAAAATTTAGCCTACAGTATCCAACCTTCCCCAGAAAGTCTTGTCTGTTTTTTTTTTTTTTTTAATTCTCTCTCATAGAGCAATTCTAACAACTTGGTTATCTTTTTGTTGGGAGCTTCTTGTAAATTCTCTCAGTTCTCAAAGACCTTTTGTGCTATCTCTATTAACTGGCTGAGGGGCATTTTCTCAAATCTCTCAAACCTTTGCAATTTTTGTCTAACATGTGGGGCCAACTGAGTTGCAAAGAGAACAACTGGTGATAATTGGGAAACCTCCTTACCTCTAGATGTCCAATCAGGGAGGGACAAAAGGAAAACATGGTTTTGGCATTCTCAATCAGAGAGCAGGCTTCATCTGGATGGCACACCACTTTTCATCCCAGGGTGCCTCGTGGCAGGCTGTTGTTTTACTGAAATTACATTCTTAACAAAAAAGGGCTTTTTTATAGGTAACAAAATTGTGCTGCATAATCTCCCAGATGTTCATAGCACATGCAAGAACTTGTATCTTATCTCTATAATCACCTATAATCTCATTTTAATGGAAACATTTTGCAGCAAAGGTTTACCAATCTTATGAATACTTCTACTAAAACTGATCTAATACTGTCAAATTCTGAACACATTTACTTCTTGCCAAATCTGTTATTTGCAGTACTATAAACCAAAACAAATAAAATTCACATCCTCTTGAGCTTTTTACAACTTACATTATACCCCCAAGTTGAGCTGTTATCTTCTTCCACATTCTGGCACAGCCAGACATTTTTTCTTGAAGACAAAACCACTTTCTTTGTCCCTCTTTTTCTTACTATTACCAGTCAATTACCTTTCCTCTCGCTTCTCAGATAACATTAAAACTCTCAACAAAACCCTTGAAGTCATCTTTTAGTAGTCTAAAACATGTTTATTTTATGTCTTTTCACTACATTAAAATGCTGTATTGTTAAAAAAAAAACTGTAACCTTTTAACTGGCTCAAATATAATATGACCTGGTTTTTACTTGGTAAAGTTGATATGATTCTTAAAAACCATAAATATACATATATATGTGCACACATGTTTACATTTTAACCAGAAAGAAAAATACTCTTTTTAAAAAGGCATGCCAAGGTTGCAAGTAATCAATTGAGGATTAAAACATTAAACAAGGCACCACAACATTAAAGACACGAACAAAGGTTGCTTCGTACACAGTTTGGTGAGATATAGGAAATAATTTTTTACTATGAACCTTGAGTCTAATAAGCTATATGGATCCTGCAGCAGAAATGGGCAGCAAGCCCCTAAGTTAGTCACAAATTAAAACAGGCAGACAATCCTAAAGTACAAAAACACTGAACATAAATATCTAAATCCCTTTGTCCATTTTGGGCTTGTAGAAGGGGTTCCTAGAAGAGAATGTTCTGTTAGATTTGGGGTAACCAAAAGGAGAACAATTAGACCAAATGGACACACAAATAGACATGCAAGACAAGACAAGCTGCAGCAAAATTGCCTTTGCTCAAAATTGGTCAAATTTTGGGATCTGGAGGAATTCACAAATTAACCAACAGAGTGGTTCCCAACCCAGGGCAGAGTCACAAATGGATGAAGTTCGTCTGGAAAACTATACAAACGGACCCAAAAAAACCAATTGACTCTGTCCTCAGGAGGTCCCTGCTTCCCAAATTGAGGGCGTCCTCTCCCCAAGAGTACAAACTGACCACGGCCCAAACAAACCCTCCAGAGTACTTACTTTCAAATGTTCAGAAATGAGTCTGGGATCTTGCTCCCATCCCGGGCGTGCCCCCAAATGTGATAGCTCAGACCCCAAAATAAAACCCAAGGAAGCAAGAAATTAAAATTTGGGGAGCAAAGGCTTTATTTTAGGCCAGGCCTTGGTGACTCAATCCCAGGGAAGACTGGGTTTTAAAGTCGAAAACCAAGGGAATGTTGCAATCACTGACACAGTTAGGTAGCATCTGGGCTTTATAGAACTTCCTGTAATTTCCTTGAAGTTAAGCATTTCTTAAAGAACAGCACATTTTATTACAGATAACCGGATGAGGGGTAGGGGAAGAGGTTACAGGAAACTGATACCTAAGGCTTTTACAGCTTTCTCAGGAAATTGAAACTGAACCTAGAAAGATAAGAAGGGAAGGGGGGGTGCTGCATACAAAACAGAAATGAGGCGCAATGGTTAAAACTAGATTACAACAAAGAAATTCCTTCACCAATTTTGCTGGCACCATACTGCTAAAATTGGAATTTAACTATAGCAGTATTTTTTCTTAGAACTATGTTTCAATTTGTTTTTAGAAAGCAATTGAAAGTAGAATTGCTGAATGATTGGAATGCTGGAAACTTTCCTTTCAAAGCAGTTTCCCTGTATGGGAATTTCATCATGACACTCAATTTTATTAGATATAAAACTAACCTTAAAAACATTATCAAACTTACCAAGACAGCATCAAATTTTTGTAGTGTTAGTTTTGTAAACTTCAATAAATTGTATTCCCACCATGTTTATCTTGTTTGCTTTATGCTGTCTTAAATTTAAGTATGTATGTGTGTGTGTTAAGCCAGTGTGAGTCTGTTATTGAGATAGGTACCCAGTCCTTTTTATTTCTTACTTTGAAATAGAATTTTAACAAATTGCTTTTTCTGTCCTTAAACTTGCAATTCTCCTGCTTCACCTACCCAAGTAACTAGGATTCTAAGCCATGTGGGACAAGATTTGTAATTGTGAATAACATTTACCAGTGGTAGGTATTCTGTAGCCAAGTTATTTGCCTCTAGGTATTATGTTAATGACAACTTTTACTTTGTTTGAGTAAAGCAATAACAATTGCCAGCTGTAGATTAATGTAAGAATTTATGCATGGTAATAAAAACATCTTATGCTTGTACACAGTGCAAAGAAAAATCACTGGAGGTTACATATACATATTTTATTTCTAGTCTTTGTATTTACTATTAACTCAATGTATTTATATGTTTATCAGAAAAATATTTATCCCAATGTTGTTATTTAACAAGATATTTCTACAGCTATGTGTGGTATCCTCTGCTAATTATTTAGTATTGCTTAGCATTATTTTGTTTTTTAGTATAATAAAATGTACTTTTCTCATGTGAAAAACTCCCACTTTGAGAAATATCCCACTATATGATTCTATTAACTGTTTATAAGGAATTTATTGGTTTTTGAGTTTCTGGGATTACTACAATTTTCCTAATAAAATAAAATGACCTCAAATGTAACTGTTTCCTTATTCTGTCTCTGTCTAGATTATATATATATATAGTACTATATATATATATATATATATATATATATATATAGTACTAAAAATATAATAACCAGGACTGCAAATACAAAAATAGACAGTAAGGATGGTACACAAAGAGAAAAAATGGCTAAGTACTAGAAAATCACATGGATAGAACTCATCTACCAATTGAGGAATACCTGTTGATAGGATTTTTTGTGATTTTGAGGCATTATATAGATCATGCTCAATACAAATATTCAGACTGGTCTTAAGCATAAGCCATTTTATTTTTACTCTGCATTGTTAAAATAACCTTTTCACAAATAAAATTTTTCTGACTTTTGTTTTATTGCAAATCACTTAGTTCTACTTGTATATTCTGTGGATGCTAGTATTTTCTGTCCTAAAGACCACTTCAGACTTCTCTGAGCTTCAATTTCTTTACATTACAAATACAAAGCAGCTAATTCCTCTGGTGATCGTAAGTATTGAACAGTATAATTCTTGTTACATGGGTTACAAAAGTGCATCAAGGGAAAAAATTACAGATGTAATAAACCAGCACTGTCCTGTGAAAACTATTTTTGCAAAGATTTGAGATTCATCCTGTATCAGTTACTAGGAGTGTTTCAAACCCTGTACATTGACTAGGATGTTGATATTAAACAATAATAGACAATCTTTCTTATATTTCTGTTATTACACTTATTAGTGGTTACCAACACACAGAAAAGATATTGTACAAGAAAAAATGTTTTAAAAAGTAAAATTTACAGTACACAAGGAGGGGTGACAGGAATAGCACATTTACAGTGCGAAATGTTGAATGAAATCATTCAGAGTAACAAAAAGGACAGAAGATATTTACAGCAAGAATTATTATACTACATGTGGAATTTCAATAGACCTTTCCAAACCATACTGGTTTAATTCCATGTGAATTTTATGATGCTTTAATGTTTAGTGCATTTTAAAAATGTATCAGGAATATATGTTTTGCTATAGATTTTTGTTTAGCCAATTAATATACTGATTTATCAGTCTATGACTTATTTTAAGTTGCAGAAAGAAAGCTGCTCCATGGAATCCATCCTCAACATGGTTATGGGTCACTTGAACTCCAACATTCCGAAGTCGGGTGACATACATGAGTCCGTCATCTCTCAAAACGTCATATTGACAAGTGAGGACATACGTCAGGGGTAAACTACGCAACTGGCTGTCATCTGCCAACAAAGGAGCTGCCCTCACATCTAGGAACCCAGGATATTTTTGAGATAACTCAGAACTACCATAAGTTGGGTTGCTATAAACATGTCCTTTTCTAAATCTCTCAGGGAGCAGGGAACTCCAATTAACAAACTTGAAGAGATGACTTGATTCTTCAGGTACATGCTGATTGGAAAGCATGGCTTTTTCAAGTGACCTGTCAGTTGTAAAATATTCACTCCAGAACCTGACCAAGAGGGACTTAGATAGAATTGGCATATGTGCATTTTCTTGACATGATGGTGAATCTAAATCAAGAGGTTGAAGTGCAGGATAAATTAAAGCCTGGATCTTGAGTTTGGTCTTGACTTCTGGGTCACGTGCAAGCTAAAGAGGAGTTAAGGTGATTTGAGCAAATTATTTTCTTTGAAAAGAGTAATACAACTGCAATAAGATAGTCTATGTATAAATTTGGCACCTCAAAAAACTTAAAAATTAAATTATATACTCATTTCAACAAAATTTGAAGTGCTTAAAGCACGTTCTAGAACCAGATGCTCCGTATGTATGCATATGCTTGATTTAAGGACTCAAGTGCATCGTCTGTACTGTATCTTTTGAGGATAAGGAAAAAGGATTGAAAAAATCATTAATTTATGTCATAACTTGTCAAATAAGAATGACAATATAGAAGTGTAAATTTAAACGTATTCCTATTCTGTTTGTATAAAAATGTATTAACTTAAACTAATAAAAGTTTAGAAATAAAACAAAAGAATCTAAAGTATTTTTGATTTTGCTTTGATCCCAAAGTGACATGCTATTGTAGAAGATTTAGGAAGACTTTCTTTGTGAAATATTCCATGAAAATTTTCTTCAATATCAGGTTCAATATGTTGATATTTGATAAGATCAATGGTCAGAAAAGAAAAGTGCACAAATATGAAAGTGATACAAAAACGGTCTATAAAATCATTTCTTAAATAACATTTCAAGTTTTGAGACTATATTCTTTAATATGTGATTTTATATGTTTTCTAAATGAGATTGTGTTAATAAAATCTTATATATAGTTTATATATAAAACAATAGGTCCATAATATAGCCCAAAAATTTAGAGACTTGTCTATATTTTAATTACAATTTTTGAAATAGATTTTGAATATTTTGAAAGCATTCATAAAGATCATATCATGTTATTAGATATTTTAATATGAACAAGTGGCCTCAGAACAACTCAGTGAGTTTAAATGGTTTGCTTTCCTTAATAGATGAGGAAATGAATGCTTAGAGATACTGAATGTACTGGTCAAGAGGACATTTATAAGAACCTGTATCTCAAGACAATACAAGTTTTCCAATTTCTAATCTTCCTTGAAATAATATAAAATTTTTGAATGGGCTGATAATTTTCTCAAACTAGTCAGATCATTTCGGTAATGAAGTGCTACTCCACAGATGATCATTGAATACATTTCAATCTCCAAAAAGGTTAACAGTCAGTTTCTGTTTTCATTCATTTGACTAGTAGATTTCACTAACACATAGCATAGTTTAACTCAGTGATCTCAGATTACTGTCAGCTTCTTAAGAAAGTAAAAGAAACTGTGACAAGAGCAGAAACTTAAAGTTAGATGTAATAACCAGTTTAGTGTTATTCTCTTTAATATTTCAAATGTTTCCATTTTATATTTAATAAAATGTATCTATCTGCTTAAAAGTAGACAATTTTGAAAAAACAGAAATGATGACCATCATACCTGCTGAGTCACTGCTGCAGCTAAATTTCCACCTGCACTGTCTCCAGAAACACAAATTCTCTCAGGATTTACATCATAATTTTCAAGAACATTTTTGCGTAAGAACCACCGTAAAGCATTATATGTATCTTCGAATTGGATTGGGAAATGATATTTAGGTGCTAATCTGTAACTGTGGAGAGAAAACATGGTTTTCTTGTCATTGTTTTAAAAAAGATTAATTAAATATATCTGTCAGAAATTCACATTTTGAATTAGTACTAAAAACAGCTACCTAACCACAAATCATGAAAATGAACCTTGCCTGTACACAGAGGTCTGCAATTTATTCTCTTTAACTCTTGAAGTATCCATTAACATAATTTAGCAGCATCAATTAATGTACATTTTCCCTTAAAATGCATAAACTTCAATGCCATGTACAACTCTACTCTTGGATGTGATTGTTGAACACACTAGATTTGAGCCTCATGCACATTGCTGCATGCTTCTTTCTTCCACTGTGGATTACACCACATATCACTCGTTCAAAAGATAAGTAACTTCAATGAGATGAGTTATCTAAAATAGTTGAATTTAAAGATCCAAAAAGTAAAACTACTGAGACGGACAAGAGGGAAATTAGTAATCAGTGGGTTCAATCAAGTAAAATGAATACCCTGTAGAGATCTGCTTTACAATCAACAATGACACGTGTGCATTTAAAAATTGATTTGGAAAGTAGATTTTGTGTGTTCTTATCCCAGTCAATCAATAGTAAATAGGTAACAAGTAAATGCAACCCAATTTTTAAAAGCCAGTGGGTTGGGTTGCTTTCCATCTTGTCTTTCCACAAATCACTTTTGCTAAATATCATTTTGTATCTAGTATTTGGTAAACATGTATATCCTTGTTGATATTTGCCTGTGGCATTGATGTGAGCAGAGTTATAAAATATGTGTAGTTGTAGTTAGTAATGTCTAAAATATTTGAAATCTATTTTTTCTTCAACTACCAGTTTATAAAAATCCTTTGGTGTTTATTCTTACCAACTATTAAAGTTTTAGTACTTTTTCATTTTAGCTAAATTATCAAGTATGAGGTACTACAGAGCATTTGATTTATATTTTCTTGGTATATAGTAAAAGTTCAGATATTTATTTATAATTTGAACATACTGTTCTGTATAGTCTTTCTCCTCTACTTCAATAATCCATAGGGATTTCTAAATTTTGAATAAGAAAAATATATTTGTATTTTTGTATTTATACAAATATACACAGATATTTCAACACTAATTTTCCTAGTTAATATGAAAACTTAATTTTAATACAAGCACTTTATCAAGTATAATTTATATGCCATACAAATTAATTGAGGCATGTAATTTAAGAGTTTTTAATACATTTAAAAGTTTTACGATGATCACCACAATTAGTCTGAGAACATTCACACCACTGAAAAAGATTAACAAATAGAATAACAGCACTGTACTCCATGGTAGACATTTGTTACTTTCTGTTCCATCAATTACCATCCTGTTGTATCCATTAATCTGTTTCTGAAGGTTTTCCTATACTAAACATTTCATTAAAATGAACAATACAATGTGTTGCCCTTTGAGACTTGTTTCCTTCACATAAAATAACATTTTGTGATTTACATGTATCAGTGGTAGTATTTCTTCTTACTGACAAGCAACATTCAATTGTGTGGATTTATGACATTTCAGTTTAGCATAATCTGTTAACAGACATTAAGTAGTTTCTACTGCATAGATTTTATGAATAATGCTGTTACAAATATATTTTTATGGATACAGTTTAATTGGCCTTGTGTAAGCACCTAGCACTTGAAATACTGAACCGTTTGCAGTTCTCCAGAGTGTCTAAGCCATTTTACATTCCCACCAGTGACATGGGGGTTGCGATTAATTTTTTCTTATTATAGCTATAATTTGTAGTTATTTTTAAATTGTAGTTATTTTAGGAGCTGTGAAGTAGTTTTGATTTGCATTCTCCTAATGACTTTTGATGTTTAGCCATATTTCCTGTGCATATTGTTCATTTTAATTATAACAAACAAAACTGTCCATTTTGCACTGAGACTTCTCATTTATCTTTAACGTTGATAAAATAAGTGTATATTCAAAGGAAAGGCATGAACTTTCACAAAACTTTAAAAAATTTTCCCTTTAACCATATTGAAATCTGTTAGTTATTTCAATGAATCAATTATAAATGTATGTCTTAGAGCTTCATTTGATGTGTTATAATTAGACTGTTTAAAGTTGAAATACAAATCACAGTGCAACCATAGATTCTCCTAATTTTAGAAGATGTAATTCTAATTACTTCATTTACTGAAAATTAATTATCAGTAAATATTGAACATAAGTATGTTAATATAATGATGTAACTGTACAACTGCATATGAAAGCATTATTCATCCACTTTTCCTTCTGTGTCTGTAATTTAAAATTAGTAACTAGACACTTCCTACTTTTTGTTTTACCCATTTTCATCTTGAGGTACACATTAACCTTTTACCTCTGGATTTTTCTATCCTGGACATTTCATAAAAATGGAATCATACAATGTGTGGCATGATTCTATTATGTTCACTCCTGTTTTACTATCTCAGTTTTCCTTTCAAACACAGATTATTGAACTAAAACATTATTTCACAGTGACTCACTGACTTGGTTCAAAGTGAGAATAAAATTTAATGTTTTAGATCATCAAGGGATAGACACTAAGATAAACCAGTTTCAAAAGTATTTTCACTGAGTTTTTAAAGTGATCGTATACTGTATCAATAATTTGTTTTGCTTTTACAAATAATCTTCTTACTCCAAGAACTTTCATCTTAAACATTATAGCTGAAAAGTAATCTAAACCAAGAAAGCATGTACAACAATAATTCAATTTAAACTTATGTAAAACAAATCTTTAGTGTCAATTTTTCGTGCCCACTCAACTAACACACATCAGCCTATTCGTAGGTGCACAAACACACACACACACACACACACACACATAGGCAAAAACACTTTTTTTTAGTGCTGCTCAGGGTGGAGCTAAACTTTTCTTTTGATTACCTCAGTGTCAGCTGAGAAATATTTATATTTGACAAATCATGCATCAGTCATTCAAAACAACAGAGGGAATTTTGGTAATTAAGATATTTAGGCACAAAATAAAAAAACAGAGGTCTTACTCAATTGATATGACAACAGCATCCAGTCTCTCTGCAGTCCATCTTGAGAGCAAGTCATAACTATATAAAGCTTAAATGAAAGAATTAAAGTCAAATATTAGTGAGAATTCACATAATAAAGGTTTTTTTTTTTAAAATTGACTGTGCTTGCTTTAGATTGGAAATTCTCTACCTATTGAATACCAAAATTACAGAAAGAAAAATTTAATGCTGTGCTTATCCTAAGAAAACTTCCACTTGTAACTGGTTGCAATTTCTCACTGAATTTTTTTTAATTGCTCTTCTTTCCTTATACTTCTTTTAATGAACATTTTGTCATTTGTCCCTCAGCCAGCAGCACTGATTTGTTTGTTTTACATGATATATATATATATATATATATATATATATATATTAAAAAGAAGATAAGCCACTAATTGGATGCATGTGTGGATAGATATGTGACACAAACAGATTTTGGATCATATTGAACCATCAGTATCTGCATGCAAAACAAGTCACCTAAACATAAGATGGATAGAAAGGTGCTGCCTTAAAAAGCTGGGATTCTCTCATTTTCTGTTGTATCTGTCCTGCTGAGGTCTGGTTTGTCTCTCCTCATGCCTGTCTAGGAGGAAGATTATTCATTCTTTTATTCAACTTTTCCTCCCATCCACATCTAATTAATTTTTCCTCTTCATCTATTTCCTCTGCATTATTTGTTCATTAGTCAACAACCTGTTATCCTCTGCATGCCATCCAATTTTAATTCCACTCACTTGTTTTGTGGTAATGAAGACTGAAACCAATGTTTATACTGAAACCAGTCCGTACTGAAGATTGAAACCAATTTTTGTACTGTATATCCAAGCTTTTAAAATTATTTTTATATTTTTTTATTTTAAAGAGAATAAAACAAAACAGAATAAAGCAAACCAGAACATGACTTGTCTTGAAGTTCTCTAATACTTTCATTCTTTCATTTTGTAATTTTAGTCTGCTTTCTATTATTTGATTTTATGATGTGTGAAAGTATGGACAGCTATTTTGAAGAAAACAAGAGACATTATGATAACTATAGTTCATTTCATGTTATTTTGTTTTGTAATCTTATAATGCTTTCATTCTTTTGTTTTGACTGGTTTGTTCTGTTTCATTTTGTTTGAAAATTATTTTATTTTAAAAAAAAATAAGAAGTTTACTAAGTTGTCTGAGCTGGGCTCAAACTTGTACACCTCCTGTCACATCCCCCAGGGCATTTTACTAATTTTTTATATCTCTTCCACATAAAAAGCAAACAAAGCTTAGTTAACACTATACTGAGATAGGATGTGCTCATCTGACCTGCCCCATAACTAGACCACCAAGCCCACTCAGCCACTTCTGATTACATCCAGCTGCTTTTCATAGATGGTATTGTCTACCCATTCCAGAGTCGGGGCTTCTATTTTCCTAAAAATATATCCTGTTTTAGTAACTTGTTCCAAGGACTATCTAGCCTAATCAAGGACAAGGACATAAATGATTTTATCGACTCCTTCACCTCAAATGCCTCCCGACACTCTCTCCCACCTTATGATAAACAACCCCTCTAACTGACTTTGCTCAGTTTGAGTAACAACATACGACACAATCTATAACTGACTCACTTACAAACCTTACATAACCAAACCTCAAAGCTTACAAACCTTACATAACCAAACTTCAAAGCTTACCAAGGGTGGGGGATTTGGAACTGTCTTTCCACTGGTCCACCAGCATAATAAATAAGTTGACATCCACCTCCTCAGTGCAGGATGTCTTTCATTCAGTTTTTTTTTTTTTTTTTTTTTTTTTTTTTTTTTTTTTCTGGGTTTTTGCAGCATCACCTTTGGCTTCCTTTTCATTTTATGACCTGACCGCTTTGATCACTTTTTAATCCTTTTCTCATTGCTTATTCTTCCTCCCAAGATTACCTTTGGGATCTCCCAGGATCTGTCCTCATTTTCTCAGTCATATTATCAGAAACAGGATAATTATCTCATGTGCTTCTTTTTTCTTTCCCTCCTTACTTTGTTCTCCTAAATTCTCTCATCATTTGACAAATTTCAATCAATTTTAAGCATTTAACATTTCTTCTCTGGACTAATTATGCTTCCCTTCTTCCTTTGTCTATATTTATATTTCATTAACTGGGGGTAAATCTGTTAATATCAAGCATGCATTTGCAACTAGAATCTGCAAGTATACTCCACAACTAGAACGTTATACAATACTTCTTAATCAAATTACTGAGCCTAACGTCTTTATCCCAATTTTCGACTTCCTTATGTACTCTTCTTTTCATTCTAAGTCTAGAAATCTAAGGACTGCAACCTTTGTGCCCAATCTTGATTACTGTAACCTTTATTCTCTACATTTGTCATTTCGTGATACATTGTATTTTTCACTTATGTATCCACTATTTAGACATTCAATTCAATAGAATTTAAGACCCAGAAAGAATTTTGTCTGTTCCAAGATCCCTACCATGTTCCTAGAAGAAATGCAGGCACAAAAGGCGTATATAAATAAAGTAATTAACATGTTACTGAGGTCCATAAAACCAAATGACTAAAATAGTGCTTGCATGTTCATAAAGAGCTCAATAATAGGAAGACCTGTGCTTTGTTAGCACTACTTAGCATAAAGAAGAAAGTCATATATGGGTGAGAAATAGTGACTTGAAGGTTTAAGTAACATTAAAACTTGCCAGGGATTGGGCTGGAGATTTAGCTCAGCGGCATAAGCGCCTGCCTTGTAAGCAGGCAGTCGTGAGTTCGATCCCTGCTACCGATAAAAAGGAAAAAGAAAAAAAAAAAAAAATTTAAAACTTGCCAGGGATCAAAGCAAGAGAAGAACAAAACACTGCAGAGACCTTGCTAAACAGCACAGTATGTGGCCTTACTAATACATTTGCAAAGTACTCCAGGGTCAGATGTCTTTCAAAGAATTCATCTACCAGGGCTTCCAGAACACCAACCACCACCATGAATATAAAACACAGCCCTTCTTTGTGCAGGGTCAGATGTCTTTCAAAGAATTCACCTACCAGGGCTTCCAGAACACCAACCACCACCATGAATATAAAACACAGCCCTTCTTTGTGCATCCACCTTCCTCTTTGGTACATATACACGCACAGGAACATTATCAAATGTTGTCTCAGTCACAGTGACATTTTCATCTGAAGTTGGCGGGACTTCTAAAAAGGCTTTACTTAGCGCAATTAAATCAGCAAGATGGTAAAATCCCAGAAACTCGAAGAATGAAACCTCAAAACAAAATTTACAAATGGTCTTAGAATTCAAATTCTGAATTCAAAGAAATTTATACAAATATAAATGCTTAACATTTAAATAGATCAATTAAGATATTATTTTATATATGAATCACCTTTATGCTTTTAGAAGAAAAGGAATGCAGTTATTATATCTACAGTAGTTGTTTAAAAGAAGGAAAAGTAATTATTTAGTCCTATTTCTCAAAATATTTCAGATTATTTTCTAAGCTTTGGGGTTGTGAATAAGAACAAGAGAAAGATACTTCTCAAGAGCCACAGAATTATAGATAAAAGGTAGGTAAGTATACGGATATAAAATAAGATAAATGCTATGATAGAGACCTCTGAACCAGGTTTAACCCAAGTCTTTGTAACGTGATCCTTGGGGAAAAAATCTTTCTTAAGAATGTAACTGAAAAAAAGAAGAAGAAGAAGAAGAAGAAGAAGAAGAAGAAGAAGAAGAAGAAGAAGAAGAAGAAGAAGAAGAAGAAGAAGAAGAAGAAGAAGAAGAAGAAGAAGAAGAAGAAGAAGAAGAAGAAGAAGAAGAAGAAGAAGAAGAAGAAGAAGAAGAAGAAGAAGAAGAAGAAGAAGAAGAAGAAGAAGAAGAAGAAGAAGAAGAAGAAGAAGAAGAAGAAGAAGAAGAAGAAGAAGAAGAAGAAGAAAAAAAACTGTTCCAGCCCGATGTACTAGTCCAGAAGATTCTTGTTGATGATGGTTGGAGAAACACTTTTAGATTTTGTTGGTAGGGAAGGAGACTAGGAGATGGCAGAATAAGGAGCCAAGATGTGAAAGAGAAATAAAATTGATTAAGATACGGTATCTATACACACCAATTCCTCAAAATGAATGCAATGATTATATTTAGTGACTATGCATCAATAAAATATTGCAAAAATAAACACATTATAAAGTAATGCTGGTGTGTATGGAGCTGAGCCTAAAGAAATGACTGGAGAAACAGGAAGAGCAACCTGCTTGCCTGAACCCCTGTGTTTCCATCTTAGAATAAGAATGTGGGACAGGTATTTTATTAGCATTAGCCTCAGTAATACACCCTAAGTATGGGTAGAAAGCATAATATTAGCAGACTGATTTGAGAGAGATGGAACATAAGCCCATGGAAATTAAATACTAAAATCAGTCCAAACATGCACGGCTCAGAAATAATATTACAAATCCAATTCACAATTCTGGAGGTACAGTGTTCATTTATAGCATAATTGCAAAGCATAGCAATGCTTCATTCATAGCACAAATGTAAATGCATCTCTCATGTACATCTTCAATAAAATATCTCACTAGATTCTCAGTGACTGCAGAAACTGAGAAGCCATGTAAATCCTTCATGGGATTCCAGATGAATCAAAGAAATTGCAGTAAACAAGAAAAGATCATTCAGGGGTGAGAAATTATATTAAAATACACTTTAAATCTGTATCATTTGTGAGCTCAGATAATATTTTCTTGTCATTAAGAAGTGAAAGCTGAGAAGACTACTGCTGAGAAGAAAACCTCAAAAAACAGGATATATATTTGATTAAATGAATACTAAAATATAATTAATAAACTCAAAGAAAAAAACTGAAAATAATTCTGCATAAATACAATGCAAATTGAGGAAACATGAGAAACATAAAATACTTCTTAACTCTCGTAGTACAATATTATGCCTAGAATAAAATTAAAACTTACTGCCACTGGGCATAAAGTAATGTAATCTAAGACATTTTACTCCTCTCACTGAATTGTAGCACTATCCCATGAAACACAAATGTTTAATACAATTTCTTCAAGTTGTCAGTATTCTGTAGTTAAGAATTATATACTTTTGCTGTATAAGTTTCTTCAGTATTTAGAGTGATTGTTTTCTTTTATTTATATTTTATTGGTACAGTTGATGTATATTCAATGATCACATTCATCATAGGGAATTTGTACCTGTACGTGACATACCTTCATCTGTCTTTTATTTTTCCCTCCAAATGTCTTCCCCTCTCTTCAACCCCTCTGCTCCTCCTTATTTGAAAACTTTGGCTCCCATTTTATCATTCTTTTCTCACTTTTTCTTTTTCATTTTTTCCTAACCCCTCCACCTTCCTAGTTACCATTTCTTTTTGAAAAAATTGTTTCACAATACCTGCTGTATAATTTGATTGTTATTTACACTTTTAGTTTCTCATATGCAAAAGAAATACAATATTTTACACATGTGTGTCCAATTTATTTCACTTAAGAGTATAGTCTCAAAGTACGTCCATTTAGCAATAAATATCTGGTTTACCTTTATGACTGAATAGCACTTCATTATATTAAACAATCACATCTTTTTTATCTGTTCATTTGTTGGTGGGCATTTAGGTTGATTCCAACATGTAATTATTACAAACTGTGCCACTATAAACATAGGTGCATATATATCACTGTGATATGATGCTTTTAATTCCTTTGGAAAGATACCAAAAAGGAGAATAGCTGGATCAAATGAGACTTCTAGTCATAGTATTTTGAGGGATCTCCATTGTGATTTACCCTGTGGTTTAACAAGTCTGCACTCCCAACAACAGTACAGAAATGTTCCCTTTTGCCCACATTCTTGCCAGCATTTGTTATTGGTTGACTTTTTGATAATAGTCATTCTTTATGGAGTAAGATGAAATCTCACTGATGTTTTAATATGTATCTCTCAAATGAAAAGTGATGTTGAATTTTTTGTCATATATTTATTTGCCATTTATACTTCATCTGAGAAATGTGTATTCATCTCAGATGCCATTTTTTAATTGTGTCTTTTAATTCAGAGGATCTGAATTTTTTCAGTTCTTCATGTGTTCTAGATATTAATCCTTTTAGGAGAACCTGGCTAAAATGTTTCCCTGTCTGTGAGTTGTCCGTTCATTCAATTGGTGATTTCTTTTATTTTTCTAATGCTTTTTAATAAGATGAGGTGCCAGTCATAGATTCTTTGTAGTAATTGCCATGAAATCTGGGGTTTCTTCATGAATTCCTTGCTTACATCAATGTCTTCAAGTGTTCTAACTTTCACTTTTTCAACAGATTTTGTGTTTCTGTATTAGTATTTAGAGTTGATTGATTTTGATTCTATTTTATTCATGGTGATAGACATGAACCTAGTTTTATTGTTTGCCATGTTGAAAGCCCATTTTTCCAGCATCATTTCTTAAAGAGGCTATATTTCTTCCAGTGAAAGTATGAGACATCTTTCTCAAAGATCAGGTGGCTAGGTGTATTTGGAGTTGTTTCTATATCTTTTAACTGATTCCATTGATCTCTGGTCTGATTCTGTTTTTTTTTTGCCAGTACCATATTGTTTTTAAAACAGTAGCCCTGTAGTGTAACTAAAGTCATAGATTGTAATGTCCCTTGCCTTGTATTTGTACCCCAGAATTGCTTTTGCCATTCTAGGTCTCTTTCTGATCTGAATGAACTTGCTGATTGTTTTCTGTAATTTTGTGAGGTACACTAATAGTATTTTGGTAGTATTGTGTTAAATCTGTATAACACTTTTGGGAATACAGCCATTTTCACTATGGTGTTTGCTACACAAGACCAAGAGATAACTTTCAACTTTCTGATATCCTTTTCGATACCCATTTTCAGAGTATAGCACTTTTCTATGTAGAGATCTTTTACCTCCTTTGATTCCTTCTAGGTTATAGGAGCTGTTGGATTTGAAGACAGGGAGAATAGTGGTGTTGTAAGGCAAGTGGGTGACTTTTATAAACCCATCAGTTAACAAGCATTGGACTTAAGGCTTGAGCCCCTGTTGATGTTTAGGGGGTATTGGGTATTGGGGAATACAAGAGAAAACTGAGCGGTACATGAGGGAAGTGAATACCAGAGTAATGTTGGTGACATGAGTGGGGTTGACTGTAGTGTCAATGACGGGGGGAGGAAGGGGCTGATACAGCAGCACATGATGGTTGGGTTGGGAAAATAAGAACCATGGGAAAAGAGAGAAAGTATAAGAGAAAGTGAGATTGGGAGCAGATTTTACCAAAAAGGGGTACACGACAGGTTGGGATAGTAAGATGGTTTTAAGGAAAAGGGTTTGGAATCTGCAGGGAATAGGTCTGTTTGGAGAGGTCATTTAGGTTTTCCATCATGCCATGGCAAAGACTGTAGACCCGGATGCCAGCCTGAAAACTCAGGAAGAACTCTACAGTAAGGGGAGGGGATGGTGAGGTAAGGAGGGGATGGTGATAGAGGAGTAGTGAGGGAAGGGGAAGTGGAGGAGAAGATGGAAGCAGAGGTGAACAAGTAGAGCTTTTGGGTATGGTGTGGGTCAAGAGTGGAAGGCATATTGTCTGTAAGGTCAGCACAACTGTCAGGTTTTGGCAGGGGTTTGGCAGTGTGGAGCAGGTCAAAAGTATTTGTGCTGTCCCACAAACCTGAATGAGGGAGGGGTCACCCTAATAGCAAAAAGTCTTGAAGATAAGGAATCTGACCTTTTGCCACCATGGTAGCAAAAACTTTAAATCATGGAAGGTGAAAGCCATTATCAAGCTTGTAATCAGGCCAAGCCATCTGGCAGTACAAGCTAATTCATGGGCTGTAAAGTGCCTCTGAGACCAACAGTGAGTGCTTACTTGGAGACTGGAGGTTACAGAGTGAGTAATTGTCTCAATGGGCACCCAAGTGGAGAGTCTTTCACCTGGAGAGAAGTAACATTGCCCAAAATTGTGAATGAACTGGAGGGTCACAATTTAATCACAATTAAAAATCTAAAAACTAAGTCACCCTCTCATAAGGAGTCATTACCCCTTCAGGGAGTGTCAGTGAGAGAGAAAGTGATCCTCAAAACCTATGCCCAGCTGTGGTTACTGGTAGGACAAAGTGGGGAGCCCTGAAAGGCAAGGTCCAATAGGACATAGAAGTGTCCCTATTCATGCCTGTGATTTACATGACAGGAACCCCAAAGTGATGAGTGGGTCACCTGTTTAGACTTGCAAGGACTGAAGTGGGTTGGTATTGGATGGAAGCTAGTAACAGCAACAGTGGAGACAGAAGGTAAAGAGGAGAAAAGGCTCATTTAGGTGAGGGGAACTCAAAGCAAGGGTAGCCTCAAGGAGCTGCACTTCTCACCTATCCGAGTCATAACACCATCTGTTAAGATTTTGTTGCTACAGAGAGTCAAATAAAGGAGAAAAAGGCCTTTATTTCAGGTGTGGGAGGCCTGCCAAAGAGATACAAGCAACCTTGCGTGAGAACAAAAAGTGGAAGTACTTTTATCAGGTCTGATCAGCAGAGGAGTTTGGGAGGTGGGCAAAATAACATTGTAACAGCTGATTTGAATGAGTGTCTAAATGTGCAAAACAGGAAACAGAAAGGTTTACAGCGGCTGGGGTTAGAGCTCTTTTTGCAGTCTTGGGATTGGAGAATGTTTGATGCACATGCAAAAGGCAAGTGGAAGGTTTTTTTCTGCATCTAGAAGAACACACAGCAGTTACTCTTGAAGAGACACCCAGATGGATGAATATCAAGTTAGAGATAGATAAGCTCCAGCCTGACAGAACCTATCAGATTTCTTCTTATACACTGCTCTCTAAGCCCAAGGTTCTTCCTATTCATAAATGGTTCATTAATCATAAATACAATAGTCCTGCCTTCTTTACCTGATCACATTACTTGCTTTTCCTGTCTTATTTCCTTCAATGTATTTCTCATAATGTGAAATCATTCATTCATTTGATTCTAATTTATTATTTTCCCTCACACTAAAATTTATATTTTGTGAATACAAACTCTGTGTGCTTAATAGGATTTGGCAGAGATTTGAAGAATTGAAATAATGAAAAATAAGAAAAATTACAGCATCCATTTTATTTCAATTTTGAAAGGAGAACTATGAAACTCAAGTGAATAAAATAGTGAAAGAAATATGGCAAAATATACTCTAGGTGCCAGAGAGGCACCCTTGCTTGTTTTCTCCAACCAGCAGCCAGTGTCTATGAAACATTAGGCTATACATTTCTGTTTTTACCTATATTTTCCTGCCAGAAATCAAGGCAAATGCCAACCATTCTGACAATGCAGTTTTTCCTTGAAATATTATTTATATGTAATTTTCCGTACTCTGAATCCCAAAATATATTCCATGAAAGTCCATATATAATACATTTCTGCATGATGAAAAATCTCTGATTTCTGTATAAAACTGAATGCCAGTGAATATAACCTCAAGACAAAAATGTCAATGGACAGCAACTATCATGACATTAGTGTTCCACAAACACAGTAATACTTCAGTAAAATCCACTAAATGAATTATTTAACTTATTTCAACTGATGAAATTTTTTATTTAACTTATTTCAATCTATGAAATAGCAAGCAAGCAAACAAACCATTTCTAAACAGTAAATAATCAAAAGCCATAGGACTTATTTTAAGATCAATAAACCGCCAAGAAAGCAAATGTCCCACAACTCTTCAGAGTAAATTACTGCATATGGACATCAGAATTCATAAATTTCAGACTTACCAAATTTTGAAAAGTTTTCAGTGGTGTGTTGATCAGCATTAGTCTCCAGGGCTCCTCAAAGTTATCTGGGATAGGCGTGTAAGTATAATATGCTACAAAGATTCCCACAATTAGAAGGTACAATGACTTTCTTCCCATGATGCAATCTCTGTGCTTCTATCCTCAGAAACACAGAGAGTAAGCTTCCTAGGCTTGTCTTAATAATAGGTTCTATAGCTGCTATGCCATAACCACACCCCTTAGCTTTCTCTTTACAGTTTAGAAGTACTTCCTTTTAGGGTTGCCAGAGTAAGGTTAAAATGTAACTGCTTATCCAAAACTAATCTTAGTGATCATGAATGCAAAGTTCAATGTGTGATAGAAACTTGGAGAAGCTCTCTAAATGCTCCTATTCTTTTGTTTCCTCTTTAAAATTTTAAAATCGTTAATACTAGCAAATTTATTCACAGAAATCATCCAAGTGACATAAACAGTTCTGTGAAACAGTGTAACATGAAAAACAGAGCAACATATAAACATATTTTTACAATGTACTGAGAGTATAAACAATAAAATAAAAACAAAAACTATTACTCTGCCCATACAGAATTTACTTAAAGATTCAGGAAATAGACATTTTGCTGTTAGTTATGATAACTATCGATGGAGAAGTTAAAAAATGGGAAAATATTAAAGGGAACAGTACGAGTAAATGCTCCTAACTATTCTATGAAGCAGACCATAGCCTAAGTTATTTTCACAATAAATCTAAATAAGTTAAAATAATAAATCTATCACGTTAATACTGTTATTCTTCCATAAAGGAATAAAATGAGTATCAATAGGATAAGAAACTTGGCTATAGTTATATAGTTTTACATGGACAACCAGAAAAATTTAGGTAGCTGAATACTATTTATAAATTTTAAAAATAAGTGTAATCCCCCAACGTGTGTGTGTGTGTGTGTTTCTGTGTGTGCGTGTGTGAGCGCATGCTTTACAATAAAAATACAAAGAAGAAATACTTCATTATGTTCTTACAAGGTTTTATTTTATCTATCAACGATGTTTTATTTTTCTATCACATTTTTCTACATTGTGACATTTCCCACTTAATGCTTGAAATTAACCATTCAATGAAGGAGTCCTGATTTCCTTTACAAGGAAGTGACAGTGGGGAGCAATTTAGGAACTTGCTCTACTTATGTTAGGGCACAACTGTGTAAAAAGCAAGAAGGAATAGATTTTTAAATGTGATCTTTTATCAATGTTTAAATTTAACACTATGAAGTTTTGTCTCATTTTTATATGTAGTTTTTCTAGTAAATGCTTAACTTTATTAATTGAAATCATGCTTGATATTGCAAAATAGAGAACCTGAAAAGCAAATAGTAGATATTATCAAGTACTTAGTGGACTACATTTCTCTAAAAGAATATTCTAAGATAACAAAATTTGATAAAAAAATTTGAAAGGTACCTCTGTTAACTTATGTGCAATCATTTTGAGTATATGAGCACTATCATAAGAATTTTTAAAATGGCTTAAAATTAATGTAGTGCACTGTGGTCACTCACCACACTGATTCAGTGACAGTTTAGAACTGTGAACCTTTTGAATTTTGCCTGATGACAACTCTGTTTTGTTATCTATTCAAGTCTCCTGAGTCTATGTTTATTTTTTGTAATATTGAAATCCTTAAAATAGGTTGAATCTATTTCACTTGTCACTCATTTGTCTCTAATTATTATGCCTTTACAATTGAGGGATACCTTGAGTTCTTAACTAACATTATACCAGTCTTATTTCTTTCTATAAATTCATAATCAATAATGGTGATTATAGCTGACATTTGTACTATTACATTGTTATGTCTTTTAAATTTCCTTATGAAATATCATGAATTAAAACTCCATCTGCATAAAATGAAGAAGTTGCTGTACAAAGTTTAGTTAATTAACTGCAAGGACAAATGCAAGATACAATAACAAGCCAAATTAAAGTCCAATAAAGGAAAAAATAAACATCAAAGGCAAATTAGTGAAATACAGAATAAAATAGCGAAACCATCAATGAAACCAAGTAAAGATTTTCATTATAAAGAAAAAAGGTTAACAAACTCTTCAAACTCCAAAAACCAGGTAAGACTTTAATTAATTAAAATAGAAAAGAGAATATTTAAAAGATACCACTAAAATCCACAGAACTAATAGGTGTTATTTTGATAGTTTGTATACCAATAAATTGGAAAATTTGGAAGTAATGCTGAAATTTGTAGTTGAATATGACCTACAGACTTTGAACCAATAGGATATAAAAAGTGAAACAGATCAATAAAAATAAATGAGCTTAAAGAAATAATGAAGTCTCAAAAAAAAAAAAAAACGAAATCCCAAGAATAGACTGATTCTTTGCAACATTAAACAAGATATTTAAATGTCTAATGCTCTTTAAAATCTTCTACAAAATACATAGAGAAGGAATGCCTCTAAACTCATTTTACAAAGCTGGTATCACTAGAATACCAAAATCGGATGACAGGCCAAAAATATAGATAAATAACTTTAATGAACACAGGTGAAAATATTCTCAATAAATATTCATAAACTAATCAACATCACATTAAACACATCACACATAATAATCAAAATGGTTTTACTGAAGTGATGCTAGGTTGGTTCATATACCCGAGGATGAAATTCATCTGGTCATCTCAATAAATGCAGGGAACAAATTAACAAAATCCAATATCTCTTCATGGTAAAATTCCTAAAGAACATAGGCATTGAGGAATTTTACCTCAACAAGATAAAGACTATATATAAAAATCATATCCAACATTATGCAGAAAAACTAAAAGTATTTTCTCTAAAATTAAAGACATGAAAAGTGTATATTCTTGAAGTATATGGTAACTTCAATTTTGGCCAGATCTAAAAGGGATACAAATATAAAGGCAAGAAATGAAAATATCACTACTTATAGAAGATATGGCTTTATATATAGAAACCCTAAACTCTCCTTCAGAGAATTCTCTGAAGTGATGTTCAAAATACCAAGTCAGAAAGCAACATACAAATTCAGTACTTGTTCTGTAACTGATAAATAAGAACTCTGTGGGAAAAAAATGAGGAAAATAATACTGACATTGGGAAATAGAATTCTTGACCTACTATATGTCTGGTACCAGTTCATGTTCTGTAATATGGAAGAATGAATGTTAGAAACAATGAAGGTTAAGAGCAGAATATACTTATTTAGATAAATAAAGCTTCTATCTGAGAGACAGGGGCAGAAGGAGGTCCTGAGAGGGTTACCAAAGACTTTGCCTTTTTAGAGACTTTTATAGAATCAAACCATGAGATAAGATGGGTTCAAGGTATAAAAAACTGAGAACTCACAAGGCAGATGGGCATGAGTTGAGACAAGAGGTATTTTCAATAAGATTAATTGCTCAATGAAAACTGACCAAATTGGGGGACAAATGTGGAAGCAAGTCATGTAGTAAGAGGGCGTTCTTATGGAGCAGTGACTCTTCCTGTAGGGGGTTGGGATGGTGGCTCCTGGCTTCCTAAACATGATCCATACCTATCTAGAATATCAATCGTGATGTTTACACTTAGGGTTTTCTGCCTTTTGTCTTAATATCTGGCCCACAGTGGGGTGTGTCTGTCTCCTCCAAGGTTCCAAGACATCTGATCCTCTGATGGTTCCTTTGAGGGCCTAGCCCTATCTGACTGCCTATAAAATATTTCTAACAAACTCAGCTGCCTGTAACAATATGATCTTTGTCCCATAAGCATCTATACTGCTTAGGGTCTGATCTATGCAGTTTTCATGCAGTGCCCATGCTAGGCTCATGCACCCTGTTTATACTATGGGGAGATTCCAGACAGTCTCAGAGGACCTGATAGATATTTTTGTAAGAACACTGAAGGATAGAGACTAAGAAGGCTCCATTCTGGATTCCCCAACTCTGTTAGGGGGCCTCTATCCTTACTACCTAATAGAATCAAACTCTTGCTTTATTAATTTCTGTCTCAATTCGTTGTACAAAGATAGCCTGTTTAACAAATGTCATTCAGAAAATTGAATATCCACATATGGGAGGCTAAAACTTGATCCCTAATTCTCATTAGGTACAAAAATGTTCAAAATGAAGCAAAGACAAATTTAACACAGAAATTAATAGAAGAAATACTTCAAGAATGGGCACAGGCAATAATTTTCTGAGTAAGATTCTAAACTTTCAGGAAATAATAGAGATAGTTGAGAAATGGAATAACATCAAATTACAAAGCTTCTGTTCATCAGAAGAAACAGCTGTAAGAGAGAAACTCAGCTTTCATAGAAGGAGAAAATCTTTGTCTGCTACTCTTCTGGCACAGGATTGATATATGAAATATATTTAAAAATTCTAAAAGTTAACACCACAGCATCAAGTAATCCAATGTATAAATTAGCAACTAATATGACAAAAATCTCTCAAATTAAGAGTTAGAATTTGTGAGTAATTATGCAAAAGAATATTCAATAGCATTAGCCATCAGCAAATCTAAATCCAAACTACATAGAGATTCCATCAGACCCCAGATAGAATGGCAATGCTTAACGATATGAGAAATAATAAACAATAGAAAGGATTTGAGGGAAAGGAAGAGTTATATTCTGTTAGTGGAAATGTACAATTTTAAAGTCCTATTTAAATTGGTATGAAGTTTCTAAAAGAAAACTAAAAATAATATTACCGTATGATCAATTGCTTTGAACATATCCAAAATCACTCAAGTCAACATATGACATACCAATGTTTGCTGACATGCAGTTCACAAAGACTATAGGGTCAGTATAAAGGCCAATCAGTTGATCAAGGATGAAAGAAAATTTCACATAAATAAGAAACAGAATATTAATCTAAAAAATGAAATCACAATTTGCCAGAAATTGGATGGAATTGGAGGACATGTTAAGCAATATAAACAGAGTCAGAAAGACACATCTTGTGTACTTTACCTTTTATGTGGAGTCTTGAAAACCAAAAATGATAGAGGACATAAAACTAAAAGGAAAACTTTTAGCCAAGAGGAAAATAATTGGCAGAAAGGAGAGAGGAGATTAACAGAAGGCAATAGGGATATAGATATGATAATCTTATCATATGTACATTATGAAAATGTGGAAAGCAAATCCAATTTTCTGTATAATTATTACATCACTAAAAAGTGTTAAGTACCTTTATATATTTTATTTAGCAGGAGTTGAAATAAATATTTTATGTATTCATTAGAAATATTTACA